TTTGCAGGAGCTAGACATACCAGGGTTAGCGACTCAACTTCCCTTCGGATGTGCCCTCCTTGAGCCTGATTCATGGTAGCAGTTTTTAGTGGAGTGTGGAACAGGGCAAAAAGGTGAACCAACCCATGATTGCGATTAAGACAGGACGCGCAAAGGCGATGCGCGTAAGTAGCCTAAGAGAAAAGCCTATAGGTAAACGGGTCCCTAGGCACCAGCAAAAAGTAGCTAATCTTTCGAGAGGTTGTGTATGTGGTGTGTGATGTCTTATGCAGGTCAAAGAAGAGAGCGAAAGAGTGTCTTTTTTAGTTAAAATGATAAATTTTGGCGATGACGCTAAAAGAAGGAAAGAAAAAAAAGTCAGCGTGCGTGAGGGCCTCTGGCCAATCAGAGGGCTTGAATGGAATACTGCTTAGGTAATCATGGCATCTAGGGCAGCGATGTCGACGAGTGAGGAAAAGAAGACAAGAAAGACGACAGACAATAATACGGAGGAAAGGATAGTAATAACCAGGTTCATGGCGGGGACAGTAGTGCTACTACAGATATCCTTTAGACAGTTGGTATATGCTATGCAACTGGTGATATCTAGCAGTATGTAGAATGCAGTATCACGCTTACGGGTCTTGTTTCAACGAGTGACAATCACCTGATAATCACGATATGACTATAGGATAAGAACATTGATACGGATATATGTATACTCTCGAGCCAGTAATGAATATATTTTGAAAAAGGTGAGTGTAGTCGGGGGGGAGGAGACGGTAAAAGCCGTCATGTTTTAATGTAATTGATATGTTAGAGACGTACAGCCCTCTTGCATACAACTTCCAATGTAAACAATCCTTTCTGCGCTTGTTTATCCAGATTGCTGTCCAGATGTGTTTTTTCTGGAAGGAAGGAACCTCATGCCAGTCCGAAGAAGAGCTTGTCAGTCCTACACCAGAGTAAATACACAACTAGATAGCGTATAGCCACCTACACCGGATGCCTACGAAGTAGAGATCGAAGTGGCCAGTGTCAAGCCGCTGTGTTGCTCGTCGTCGACACGTTGACCCCATCGGTTCGATAGAAAGATGCCGCCTTATCTTATCTGATCGGCGCTCGGCCCATAACCGGTAAAACCTTATCTCCACCTCCGCTCTCAACGGGTTTGTCTCGACAATTGAAGGGGACAAAGACTAAATGGGAATGTATAACATCAATAAAATGAAATGTAAGAAAGAGGGAAATGTTCATAAATTTATAGCTACTTTCTTTAGGGATTGACAGGGTAAATATTCTCACGAATCCCGAACATTTCGATGATCAAGCTTACACAAATTGCTTATTTAGCGTATGGCAAAGGGCTATTTAAAGCCGGCAGGCTCCAATCCGTACGTTTTTGAGTATAAAGTCAACGTTCCCTGGCTTTGCTGCTTGCTGCGTGCCGAAATGCATATAGATGACCATTTACTGTATTGTCCAATCACAGCCTAAGTTTCGTGATTACTAATCAAGGTCACTACCATGAAACCTTAACCAATCGATGGGTTGAGAGCGAAAAGCTGCGTCTCAAGGCACCTAGGTGCCTGCTTATTATCTCAGATCGGTTCGAGAGCTTGCATGATAGCGCTAATGTAAAGTAAGGAACGTGAAAATGAATTTTGACCTGATGGTGAACCCCAAATTGAGCCAGGCTACCGTGGACTCACGAACGCTGGATAATTGTTAGTCCGATGTTCATGAGGGCGCCTGGGCACCATGGAAGGTCACCCAGGATCTACATCTGCGCAGAAAGGCAGACGGCCTGGTTAAGACAATGCATACAAGATGAGTAGAGAAGGTGGGCCGAGCACACCTCCCACATCCATACCTGTATTGCCAGTCCTGCAAGCTGGTGCCCTAGGCGGTATGTAAAGACTCATCACCCTGGTTGAAATTATATTGACTTAGCGAACCATTCAGGCACTTGCGGTCTTCTCTATGGCGGCGTATCTGGAGTGCTTCGGGCACATCACCCGATAATAAAATCAATATCTACTGGAGTCTACTGGTTTGCATTTGGCAGCTCATTCTGGTGTAAGTGTTGCTCTCGAAAATGGCCATCCGTTGTGTTAACTAGGATAATACACAGGGCTGAGGAGCAATATCCTCAGAATTCAATTCGAAGACAATGCAACACCGAAAGAACGCATTTATTCAAGCGTCGCGTCCAGCGGCCTGTCAGGGGGGGCCATCAATTTGGCAATGAGTGAGTATTTCCCAAGTGTCATTGCTATAACTCATGCATATCATTCCGACGATTGAAACATTCGTATATCGGCAACATAACTAAAATAACAAACAGATCGACGTTTTCTTCCTGGCCTAGTTATCTGTTCCATGTTAGGCCTTGTGGGACAGTATTCTTACAATAAACTTGAGGAGCGTCAGGCACGGCTTCAATCAGAACCAGCGTCGACAAAAACATGGGCCGAACGGATGGCCGATTCTCGATGGATACCAATCAGAAATCTGTCTGATGAACAGTATAAAACCATGCTGCAAGAAAAGTTACTTGGCGTCGACGTGGAAATCGCATTGATCGATGACAGGTTGAAAGAATTGAAAGCCTCTGGAGATGAGAAACCAGACACTGGTAAATAACATAACACACCGTTAGTCTTTTTCTGTATATTAATTTTGGTTCTTTTGTTGTTTGTCCTGTGCATGTACTGTAGATTCTCGGTCAACGGCCGAACAGAGATATCCCTCGGTTTAACAGCCTATCCAATACATCCAATGGCTTTCTTATTTAGGCCGGCTTTACGACCAGAATTCACTCGCCCGAAAGGTGGCTTTAATTATATCCTTCCGTATTTCGGATGCTTACAAACGCCACCCGTTAGGGCGTAGTTGGGGGTAGCCGTACTTGAACCGTAGAATTATATATCCAGATTGCTCTTTATGGACACTATATTGAAATTTTCATTATTTTATATTTGCTGAAAGGATACCACCTCAAAGCAAGTTGACAATGAATTCTATACCCATAGGGTTACAAAAAAAGCCCAGAGTTCTGAGCCTAGGTACTATCAAACACCTGGGCGAAGATTTCATCGCAGAGTTCCAACGGGAATTTGATTTATCGGTACTAGATACCTGTCCACGAAGTCAATTAAAAAGCCGACTGGAGGATGATATCAAAGAACATGGTCCGGTAGACGCATTTATCATCGGGCCAAATAGCATACCGTATTATCCGTTTGACGAAGAGGTTCTCTCACCGCTGGTACCGAGTTGCAAAATAATAGCAAGTCTTACCTCTGGCTTCAACATGTTTGCCGTAGAATGGATCGCAAAGCAGGGGATGTGGCTCACAAATACCCTCGATGCCGTTGCAGAGCCCACGGCAGACATGGCCTTGTTCTTATTGCTGGCAGTCTTTAGAAATACAACGAACGCGGAACGGAGTGCAAGAGAAGGGACCTGGAGAAACAACCTGAATCCAACTCATGATCCATCGGGATGTACCTTGGGCATCGTAGGGCTTGGGACAATTGGAAAAGTAAGCAATTTCACATAATCATCGATCTATGAGTATATTATTTGTATACTGACAATAAGTCTCTTTCCCTCTAGTATCTGGCTAAAAAGGCGGCTGTATTTAATCTCAAGGTCATATATCATAATCGAACTCAGCTGCCTGGGGACGTTGAGTCTGAATATGGGGTGACATATTACGCCTCATTGCATGAGATGCTTGCAGCCTCTGATGCAGTCTCAATCTGCTGTCCACTGACGGAACAGACCAGAGGTTTAATAGGACCAAAGGAGTTTGCAGTGATGAAAGATGGTGCTTATCTGATCAACACAGCTCGCGGACCAATTGTGGATGAAAAGAGTCTGATAGAGGCTCTTGAAAGTGAGAAGATAGCCAGAGCAGGACTTGACGTTTTCAACGAAGAACCGGACTTTAATCCATATTTCAAGACCAGTGACAAGGTTATAATTCAGCCACATCTTGCAGGTTTGACTGACGCGGCTGTTAGAAGAGCAGGCCAAGAAAGCTTTAAGAATGTGCGTGCTCTATTTCGAACAGGAAGGCCAATCTCGCCTGTCGTTGATATCAAACCCAATGTTGGATAGAACTAGAGTAGAATAGAAGATTTAGATGCAAGATCAATCATCTTAGAAGATATATCTTCAAGTTGCTGATGGCTTTTCAAACACTCTCATGACCTAGCAGATCCCTTACCGTTGGTCAATCTCTTCAGTCCGTTTGGATAATTCCGGGTATCACCGAGTAATCGCAGATGGTATACTTCATAGCTTAGACAAAGCACCGGCCGACACAGTAAGTCGTTTAAGATACCTTTTTCCAGGTGTCTTTTCGGTTCGGAGGAAGAGTCGTAGGCGGGAGAGCCAGCAGCCCCGGGAGTGTTTGAGAATGCTTTGTCTTGTTGTCTCTTGCGAAGGGCGTTAGAAGCTTCTTGTGACAATGTATTCTCGGTCATACATCTATCGTTGAGTCAGGAGATATCAAATAATCGGCTATTGGATATTGGGTATTGAGAATTGGATTGCTTTGCCAGCTAGGCATCCATCATCGGTAATAAGCTAGATTTCATGGATAGGTGATTTCGGGACCGCATCAAGAAATACAACCCATTCAAAGAGCACAAAGGAAGACGCTGAGCGCGACATTAGCATATCTCGAAAGATTTATGTTGCACAATGTGGATGGAGCAAGTTTCATGCAGCAAGTTGACACTGATGATAGTAGAACATTATTTTTGCCACTGGGAAATGAGCGCAAGCATCTAGTTTAACTGGCTACCTCTCTATTTACACCACCAGAGAACGTATATATCACCACAAGATACCCATTTGTACACGTCCATATGGCAGAAGAACCTATAAGTGCCAAAGATGAGAAAAAGAACAGTGATAACCAAAAGAAAAATGCCTGTATGGTACCTTCACAGCCAATATAGATTTAACCAGCTAACTAATATCCAACTCTTGAAGTCACCGAATTAATGAACCCCAGACCAAAGCGAGCAGCCTCGCCGCCCATCGAGCCCAAACCCTCTCGTCTGAAACCGTTTAAAAACCGCGACGGTCTAGGAGCCTACATCAAAGACCCCGAGTCCTTCTCCGCGTCAACCGTCGTATCCCACTCGCCGGAGTTCGTGGTGATCCACGACCTCTACCCCAAGTCCGCCGTACACCTACTCATACTGCCTCGAGACCCCCAAAAATTCTTCCAACACCCCTTCGTCGCCTTTGAGGATACGAGTTTCCTTGAAAGCGTAAGGCAGGAGGCTGCAAGGGTGCGAAAACAAGCTGCTTCAGAGCTACGAAGGAAGTTCGGGAAGGTTTCGGCTTTGGATAGGAAGAGGAATGAGGCGCTTGATGCTGATGATGATGGGGATGAGAATACAGTACCTGATGAGCTGCCGGAGGGGAGGGATTGGGAGAAGGAGATAATGTGTGGGATACATGCGAATCCGTCTATGAATCACCTGCATATCCATGTTATTTCGGTGGATAGGTGTGGGCAGAGTCTAAGGCATAGGAAGCATTATAATAGCTTTTCGACGCCTTTTTTTGTCGAGCTTGATGCGTTTCCGCTGGCGGAGGACGACAAGCGCAGACATCCTGATAGAGAAGGGTATTTGAAGTCGGATCTGAAGTGTTGGAGATGTGGCCGGAACTTTGACAATAAGTTCACGCAGCTGAAGGCGCATTTAGAGGAAGAGTTTGAGGAATGGAAACGTATATAGCCATATTAGCATATCCTGATTACTCCGTAGTTATGCAGGAGAGGTGAAGAAAGGAGTATTATTAAATGAAGATTTTGATTAATGCACCTATTACCCCCTATAGCTAAAGATTAAAAGCCTTATCTGCGCCCAACAACTCAACAAATAAGGACGAGAAGAGAAGGAAAAGATAATAACCGCCTGCGCCAGTGACTCCGAAGCTCCATACCAAAAAAGAAGAAGATTTTGTAAAGAAAGTGAGCGACGCGGGCTCCTTGACGAAGAATGAGAAGAATCGGTGGACTGGACGGCCATATCTTGAAGCACAAGGAAGAAAGAGAAGTGAATACAAGGGTATAAGGAGCGTGAGAAGGTTGCAAGGAAACAAGAATAAAATGAAGTGAAAGTAAGCAAAGAGTGAGGGATACCGAGATCCCGCATCATGCTTGGGGTGGTCGTCAAAGGATCGTGAGATTTCTCGACCGTCTAAGTGATGAGTAGGAAAGAAGGCAGGGGTGGGTGGATGAGAAAAGGTATACTTCCCTCCTTCACAACCGCTTGGAGCTGGCCCGGCGATCTAGCATGGACCAAAGGCTGGAACCTTCGTGGACCTCGGGGAGGCGGTAGCCATTGAGCATCTCGTTCTCGACGAAGATTGAGGCACGCTTGAACCTGCGGTCTGCGTACTTCTCGTATATGGCTAGATGGTGCTGCTGTGGAGCCTCACAGCATTCGAGGATGAGGCCAATGAGCTGGTAGAGCTGGCCGAATGTGTATCCGGAATAGAATACATGGGCAGGGGTCTAGGTGGAATATGTCAGCAATGAGAAACGCCGAAACATAAAAAACAGGATAAAACAAGTCAAGACGAATAATGAACATACCCAGTCCCCTTTCCGCAGCATCAGTCTGGCTAGACAGTGGGCGCCGGCAGCAGTGAAACTCGGTGGCGTGCCGACGAACCGCTCGTCCATGATGGTGAGTTCCAAAAAGTACTTTGCGAGAGTACGAGTTTCCAGGTCATAATCATCAGCCTTGCTAATCCGACGGAGGAAGCTCATTGGCCCTGGCCATCCGAGCTCGAACTGGAGCATGCTAAGCATGAAACGTTCGGCCTTGAGAATCTCGTCAACGGTGTATCCGTTATCAACCATGTAGACGATCTCCTGTACCGAGGGACAGTTGATCTCTTCGTACTTTGCAGCGATAAAGATAGCGGTAGCGCCAACGAGCTGGAGCTTGCCCAGCGAGACGATCTTGCAAGACAAGAAACGGTCTATGTAGTTGACGCAGAGGAATAGAGTCTCTGGAAGAAGCGAGAAGCGGTGGTGGACCTGGACCAGCCAGTCCATCAGCACAGAGCGCATTGACCACTGAATCTCTGCTTGGTTGTCCATGTAATGGGCATTTGGGAGGAGTTTGAGCTATAGAAAATAATAACGTTAGCATTGGCATTATTAGCAATTGCGGAACGGCACATTGGTACGTAACATACCTCGAGCTCTCTTAGGTATTGGAAGATCTCTTCACCATATTCAGCTACCATTGTAGTATCCCGCCACTCGTCATCGTACTCTTCGACGGAGGTAGAGGTTTCCATGATCTGCCTTGCCAGAGCTAGTTCCCGACGGGACTGCTGGCTCATCCTGGGGAATAGTACCATCGTTGCGCCGCCAGTGGTATTATCACGGGAACGATATGAGCGGGCGGTGGCATAGCCATCTTCGTCATAGTTGTCTTCCTCCTCTTCGTCCCAGTATTCTTCTGGTTCAGACTGGTCATATTTACGCGACGAGACGGTGATATCACTTGGTCGTTTGGTCGATTGCATTGAGCCTCTGGCTCCATCGCTGGATATCCTGGTAACCTTGGGCTTTGTCACCTCATTGGCATCCTTTGCATTATGATTTGGCACTGGTGGTCCGGGTTCGACGGTTGCCTTGACAACGGCTTCTTTAACTGCAGGTTCTTCGGCAACGGCCGTAGCTGCAGGCATCGTTTTAGTTACTTGAGCAGGAGCAGGTTCTGTAGTGGCTGATTTGGGAGGATTGGTCGCGCCCTTGACGTCCTTTTCGACCTCTTTGGATGGCTCAGCAGACTTTGACGATGCCTCACTCACGGAAGCTTGCGGGGCAGAAGCCTTTTCCTGCTGCTGCTGCTGCTGCTGTGGTTTTTGCTGCTTGGTGGTTGGTTCCTCGACGACCGGCTGCAAAATTGGGTCTTTAAAGACAGCATTGGCACGTTTGGTCTGAATCTTTTTCGCCTGCGTCTTCTCTGAGCCTGGCTTTATACCGACTTCAGCGTTAATGATGGCATTCACTGCTGGCTTTGTACTAATGGAGTGAATGGGGCGCTGGGCTGGGCGAGCAAGACAGAGCGGCTTCTCGGTGATTTTGATAGTGTCCTTGGATGGGAGAGAAGAGTCATCTTTGGCAGATCGAAGGGAATTGACGGTGTTGCTGACATCGCCAAAGGCAGCACGTCTGACTGGTTCCTTGCTGGTAGCGTTGCTGTTGCTGTTGCTGTTTGCCAGAGCCGACAAGGCAGGCGACGACTTGTTGCGGTGATGGATGGTCTTGCCAGCGCGGTTGAAGGCAATCATGTTCTCATCAACTCGACCGCGAAGGGTGCGAGCTGGTCTCTGTGGCTGTTTGTAGAGCATTAATTAGTCCAAACAAGGCCTTCAAGTGATAAATTGACGGGATGCAGGAGGGCATGTAGAGGCTGGAGGCAGCAGGGAGGTGGCCGGCAGCTAAAGGGGCTACAATACCTTTGCGTCCATGGCGAAGTCGACGACGACAGAGACTGATAAATAGACAGGAGACGAAGAGAGTCTACTGTCCAGCTATCATCAAGAAGAATACAGAGTATCGATATCGAGAGCGGTCTTCTGTGGATAGGATGCTTGTTGATAAAGTGTCTCTCACTTGGCCTCAGTTGTTGTTGTTGTTATTGTTGTTGTGGGTGCTGTTGCTAAGGCAGTCGTCAAGGTAAGATAGGCGGGAAAAAGGGATCACACAGCAGCCCATGCAAAGCAAAGGCAGAGACCAAGACGGGCGAGCTGTTCAGTCAATCGATCCCCTGGGCAGGCCTGTCCGCGCCCTCGAAGTGTGTCTCTCCGCTGGTCGTCCTGTTGCTGTCGTCCTGGCGTCGTCCTGGCGTCGCCGTCGTCGTCGTCGTCGTCGTCTGGCTGGCTGGCTCGCTTTTTGCTGGTGTTTTATTTTCTTTTCTTGTTGCTGGAAAGAGAAGAAAATAAACAAAGCTAGGCCGCATGCGGTTAGCGCCCGACGGCGGCCTGGCTAAGCAACCAAAGTCTTGGCAGATTACGTCATGCCACTAGTCGCGCGGCGGCGCGTCTCCCCCAAGAGCCGCAAGAAGGCGTTTGTGCATGCTAAGCGCGCGCCTGGCCTAGGGGCAGCGAGATATTTTGTCCACGAGCTGCGGCGGGCGATGCGACAAGGCTGGCGACCAGTTTGCGCCCTGAAAGGACGTCCGGTGGCCGCTGCAGGGGAGTTCGTGGGGAAGCCGCTTTTTGCGTGTCGAGGAACACGAAAAGACGCCAACCCACGTGACCTGGACCTGCCTCATTTTCTTTGCGACGACGACCTCAAAGCGGACAAAAAGCGCAAAAGCAACGACCGGTGGGAACAGACGACGTTCGACGCAGCGACGGCGCAGGGCAGGCCGGCTGACGGGGCGCCAGCAGAGGGCGGCGGAGGGCAGATGAAGGCTGCGAGACGCAAGGGACAGGCCGACAGAGGCATCTCCTGACGTCAGGATGGGTCAGTGACCCCGATTCTAGTGCGGATGGCTGCCGGCTTCGTCCCGGCCGCTACCGACACAGCCTGCCCACCGTTTGAACGGCGGCGATGCGATGCGACAAGAAGAAAGAAAAAGGGCCCATCGAGTCGAAGCGACGCCGGCATCGCAAGGTCCTCGGAGCGCTGGGCTGTTCCCCGGGGGGTCCTCCTCCTCGCCGGCGCTGACACAGCGCAGCAGAGAAGCAACCAGGGCCGGACGCTCATTCATTTCGGTCACAGGATCCCTCTCATCGCAGCGCACAATATTCCGAGCCCGCGATCGCAGGAACTTGCGAGAGCCAAGCGGGTTTCACTTTTTTTCTTTTACAACAAACATGCATCCAGTCGCCTGCTCTAGCCTATTGTTGTCGCATTCACCAGCTTAGCCGTGGTGCCACCGGGCTCTCGCTGAGGTCGCTCTCCCCCCCCGTCGCTCAGGCCTCAAACTGCCGTTTCGCCAGCATTGTATCAGATCCCTATTTCTTTTCTTTTCCCTTTTTTAAAAAATATACTCCATATATATATGAACATGTATAAACGTATGGGGGACAGCGTCAGAAGGCCCTTGTATCGCAAACCCCCAGAAAGAAAATAAGGGTCTTCTTCACACGACGGCGAGAAGGGAGAACGGGGTTTAATCAGTGCCGGCGCAGTGGGAAAGCTGGGCAGCCAGAGCAGCGTCTCAATCCATTGCGACTGGCCATTGATGCAAGTTTGCGCCGGATGTTAGCGAAGAAGCGCAGCATATGTTTCCTTGACTCTTCGTCGATACGGGGTCTGGAGTCGCAAGGCGCAAAAGAAAAGAAACAAGGCCGAAGAGAGAGAAAGAGAGATTTAAAGCATGCATTAATATATTTCATCATGCTGGAGCTTCTTCCTGCTGGGCCGCTGGCTGCTGCTGCTGCTAATAATAATAATAAACTAGCCTGCCGCTTCTGCTGTCTGGCCGACTCATGCTTCGTTCGCCCTCGAGAAGTAAGACAAGACAAACCGCTGCGAAACGAGGCAGAGGAGAGGTCGTTCGACCTGTGCAAGTTCCTTAAGCTTCTGCTCCTGCGGAGACCGAATGCAGAGCGAAGTGGCCGGCGCATGAAGCAGTCACTTTTATAACCTTCCTCACACTAGATCGCCAGCGCCACCACGATGCCATGGGATCTATCTCAACTATCGCCGAGAACGACCAGCAGGGAGGGCAGGCGAGCAGGCGAAACATGAAACTATTGACCACCCGTTGGTTGGTTGGTTGGGGTTCGTTATTGGGGGGGTGGTGGTGGTGGTTTGCTTATTGCTATTTATTGCTATCTCAGCTCCTCCTCCTGCGCTGCCCTCCATTGCGCTGCTTCTGCTGCGGCCACGTCAGGGAACGAAGGGACCGCCCTGTTCCTCGATCGCTCGGGTTACTCTTCAAGAAGAAAAAAAACCTTCCTGACTCCTCTTTCCCTCTGCCCCATCCCTGTCCACTTAACTAAAGGACCGCCAGCTCTGGGAGTCTCGGAAGTGTAGGAGAAAGAAGGGAGAGCCGGGGTGGGATAGAGGATCAACCCGTCAACGTCCTCCGTTCCCCCCAGCCGCTGGATACTTGAACAACGCATTGAAGGTCCGCCCTGTCCCCTAGCTAACAAATGCGGATCGAATCGAATCGAAGGGTGCGAAAACTATGTATGGTTTGACTACACAACTTAACACACACACCCCTTGTTGCGCAGTGTGCCGCTGGGTGTTGAGCGTGGCCAACCCAAGCTGCAGAACTCGGGTGGATCGTCGCAAAGACATGGCAAATGGACCCAATCCTAGGCGCATTTAGGTTACAGGTCCTCTCCTCCCAGGATTAACAACGACGGGCTCTGCTTTGGAAGAACAAGCAAGCAGACCAGCAGCAGCAGCAGCAGCAACCCAGCATCAGAGAGAGAGAGAGGGAGAGAGGGAGACTGCCGAACTTCTCCGGCACAACCAGCTCATATACTTCCGGGCTGGCCCTTTTTTTTTTGATAGCTACTAACTTGGAGGGAAAAGAACGAGGGCTTTCCGCCGATTCTAGATGGACACAAACGACGGGCTGACAGTGAGTGACCTGACTGACGGACCAAACTGGCTTGACGGTTGATAGACGACCTGACAGCAGTTCAGAGCGCATTGCCAGCCGGAGCGTCATGAGGCGTAATTGGGCCTCGTGCCTTGGATGCGCATAAGGATCCTGACCGAGTCTTTTTCTGTCTTTGGGCAGCGGATGCGCATCGCATAGGTAGGAAGGGGTATGTGATAGACAGGCCAGGCCGTAGAAACCAAGTAGCAGCCCGTAAACAGAAGACACAGGCAGCCCAGCCCGGTTCGGCGCCTGCGTCCAGAGCCTTAAAAAAGGGAGCAAATGAAATAGTAATAATAATACGCTGCATGACTAGCTGAGATAACTCTCGCTGACCTGGCCGGCGGTGGTGTGAAACCTCCTCCACCGTTCGTTCGCAACCTACATCCACACATCATCATTCTTCCTCCCTCGACCCTCGCTGCACCGCCCAACAACCTCCTCGGCCAGCCTGATATCCCAGACTGCTTCGTCCTGCCGCCTGCTCAGTAGCCACGGTCTGCCGGTAGGTCGTCTGTCTCCTCGCCGGCCTCGTCTGCCCTCCAAAGCCGCTCTATAATTCTTGCCGCTGATCTCCATTCTGTGACAGGACCCAGACATCTCACAGCGCCCCCAAGGCCATCATCACCACCTTGCCAGCACCCAGCGTCTACTGGACAGACCCCCAGCACACTCTCGTTGCGATCTTGCGATCCATCCCTCGCAGTCGTCTCCAGCTGTAGGTATCTCCCTGGCCGCTGTGCTGCTGTTTTTCTCCTGTCTGCTCGCCCTGCCTCTCTCGAGCGGCCATGTTTTCCCTTACCCGGGACAACACACACCTTTGTCTGCCTGGAATAGGGAGCCAGCGTCTGCCCTATTGACGGGCCGGCAGGACACAATTATCTATTCTCCCGCCCTCTATTGTCGCTACAGACTGCTAACTGCGCTCTCTCTTCTATTTATACAGCTCGCTTGCTCGTTGCCGGTTATCCTGGCCTAACTAGAAATTTCCACTCTCTCACCGGCACTTCCGTCAGCCAGCAAGGTATACCTCCATCGCCATCTCTCTGCGACCAGGTCTGCCTCCCTGACCGGATTATACACTCGATTCCCTACCTCCTGACACCTCCTCTCTCATCTGTTTGCCCCGGAACTTGCATGGGAACTGCATAACCAAAGAGTCGGTCTCAACCCTACCAAAGCCCCTTCGTCGCATTCGCCCTAACTGCACCATCAACAACGCCATCACCCAGCAGTCCGAGGCAATAATCCGTCGGATATGCCTCAGGAACCGCGGGTGAGAATGCATCCATCGGCTCATGACTGTGAAGTGTCAGGATCTGGCGGCCCGGTCTCCGAGAGCCAGGCATACTATGACGAGCAGCCCCAGGCTGACCGTCCAGCCAAACATGAGTCTCCTTCAAACCCGTCTCCAAAGCATGTGGCCTTCGAGCTGCTGCTCGACGAGTCCTCGAAGATGCGAGCTCGCATTCCAATGAGAGTCCAGATCTATCCCCATGACACTACCGACTCCATCGTCACTACGGTCAAAAATTTCTATGGGATCTACGAAGGCACCGCCAGCGGCGTTAGCTTTGAGGACCAGGATGGCAATACACTCATTGCCAGGTATGAGAACCTCAAGAACAGCATGACCGTCTATGTCCGAGTGATACCGAACCACCATTACCCCGAACAACACTCACCGCCATCATACTATGCCGTCTCCCCGATGGACAACTACTCCCGGCCTACCCTTGGCGAACCATTCTCTATGCCACCCCCCCAGGGCAGCCAGGCTATCAACTATGGCCAATCCGTCTCCCGTCCTACTTCGCGCGCTGCTGCTGCTGGAAAGCGAAGTGTCTCTCCTCCCGCCCGAGGTCGCCGAAGCGCCTCGAGGCAGAAGTCATCTCGAGCAGGTGTCAAGAGCCGTGGCTCAAGCACCCATGGAAGCTTCCATGATGACGCACATATGCCTTGCAGCGACAGTGATGGAGGCCATAGCTCAGTGAGCGGCTCGAGAAGGCCCAAGAGTGAGCACTTTGGTAGTGCTGATATCAGCATGGAAAACATCCTCCAGGATGGCAGAAGGAAGCGCCCGAAGTTCGAGAGCTCGGTAAGTATCAAGTTCTCCAGACCTTAACCCACCTGTTTCCATATATAATCTCGGTATTAATGTATTTTATCCCAGGAACTTCCCTTGTTTGCTCCTCCCCAAGTGCCTCGCACAACTTCGGCATCCTCCATTTCTCCCCAGCGACGTTCCCTTGCACCCGATGCCTCGCCATTCGCAAGACCCAGCCAGAACGCTTTCAGCGGCTACCAGGCGCTTGCCTCCCCCCAGGGCTTTGGCAACCACGAGAAACTGCATTCTCTTCAGAATGGAAGCGGGAATAACCCGTATGCGACTCCAACGGTACCACATCATGGCCACAGGCTTCGGAATCGAGCCAACTCCAACTCGGCAGTACACTACGCTACTCCAGTGAATGGCCATGGCATCTTGCCTACCCCTGATCCAACCATTGCTAGTTGCATCTCGGATGAAGATGTTGCCATGCAGCTCATCAGGCTTGGAGACACCTCCAACTTCTCCCACGGCCGTAACTCCACCTCCACGGTTGACGATGCATTCAGCGGTATTGCCGATGCCGCCTCTTCTACCGGCGCAACCACAGACATATCTGATGTCAGTGGTGACGAGACCGACCTGCCAACTAAGATTAGAGAGCGTCGTGCATCAAGTGACTCCCTGCCAGGCTTGCCCAAGAAGAACAAGACATTGGACGAGATCCTTCCCAGCTGTGAAAGCAGCGACCCAGCTAGTGATGATATCGATGGTGAATACCAAAATCTAGCCTCTCAAGATAACATCAAGAGCGAATATGATGATGACCCATCGTATGAGGCACAGTCTTCTCGAACCAAACGTGCAAGGAAATCAGCCAGCACAGCAACTACTGCTGCAACCTCAGCCAAGGCCACCGGTGCCAAACAGGCCTCCACTGCTAAAGGAGGACGCAATGCGAAGAACCGCTCTGCCCCTGCTTCTCGCAAGGGTAAACAGGCCCCGACTAGCTCTGCCAAACCGGTGCCACCCCCATTACTCCCAGCCACCGCTCAGCAGGGAGGTGTCAACTTCCAGAACCAGCTAGCTGCTGATGAGGAAGATCTCTCCACGAAGCCACGTTGCCAGCGATGCCGAAAGAGCAAGAAGGGCTGTGACCGTCAGCGCCCCTGTCAGAGATGCAAGGATGCCGGCATCGGTATCGAGGGATGCATTAGCGAGGACGAGAATAACGGTCGCAAGGGCCGATATGGTCGCCACATGGGTGTTTCTGTCAAGAAGGACCCTTCTGCAATTGCTGCAAAGGCTCAAGAAGCACAGGATACTGCCGCCCAAACTCCTGCTTCTTCCACCACGGCAGCAGTCCCGGACAAGAATAAGAAGCGCAAGCGCTGATTGTGAAGTCCCCCAGTGGTCCAGGGAGACCTTCCACTCTCGCCGTCACACCACTGCCCTGACGTTATCTGTTATAGAGCAACAACCTGCAGCATCGAATATTCCCTTGTGCGAGCACATACTCTTTCATCACCAATGCATGCCTTTCGAGTTTCGGCTATACCTACGACTTGTGTTCATACCAGCAACAATCAGACAAATCAACACCCCGCCCCCGAAGCAGCTGTTAACATCAAATTATCATTATCATAGACTTTGATTCCTGTTTTTCTTGTTTCTCTTTCTTTTTTCCATTATACGGTGGCTTGCTTGTTCCTTGTACCTCCTGTCTCAAACTACTACCTGTCGAAACCCAACCTCTTCATCTACGCCCCTGTGTTTATTTGCTGCAAGTATCATCCAGCCATCGTCATTATCCTCATGCCAATTGCGACTGTCATTAACATCAAAGGCGCTGCGAGTTTTGTGTGTTTCTTTGTACTGCATTTACATCCTTTTACTTGCGCCTTCGCTCTCTACAGTCATGTACCTACTGCGGTGTTGTTGTTGTCTTGTTTAATCTCGAATTTCAAAATTTCCTTG